GCCCTGTATAAATAGACGAGTTTCACAATTTTAGGTCAACTTTTGACATCAACTGCTACAGTAGCCGTTTCTTTACTTCTTTTAGCAGTTTTTCATATTTTGAGCTATTTTAACATAGATTTTATCATTTTAATCTTGCAATATGAGTTTACTTATCATTTCTTCTTCTATTTCTTCAATTTCAAGCATGAGTAGCTACATTTTTACTAGGTTTGTGACCCAACCCTAGTGTCTAATCCTTATGGGTGTTTAATTTAATGTTTGTTTATGGTTGAGTATTTATTATTTAGCCTTGTTTATGCTTTAAATTGTAGAATTAATGGTTGCAAATATTAGTTCATGCCTATTTGAATTAGTCTCTACTTGAGAACAGAGACTTAGTCTAGGAAAACTTGGCTAACAAGAAATTGGGTCAATCGAGAGATTGATAATCCCAATTAAAGGGTTTAACCTAGAGATAGTAATAACCCGGCTTGAGCTTTTATCAACCATTTTGTTCAATACCCATTTGGACTTGAGAAATCCAAATTGGGCAAAATCACTCTCTGACCGAGAGGTATTGAGTAGGTAATTGAGTGTCGATAGCTATAATACACCCCGATCAATAAAACAAGCATTAAGGTTTGTATCCCATTAGGCAAACACCTAGGTGATGGTCATAGCCCTAGGTTTTTACAAAACTTGAAAAACAACAAAAACATTCTCTTAGTTTTATTTCTCAACTTGCAATCTTAGATTTAAATTAGACTTAAAAACAACCCAATTTTGTGGAAGTGTAAATTTAGATAGTCAAATTCATACACTACAATATATACTACTAACTCCCATATATAGCTCCTTGCGGAATTCGACCCCGACTTTTGTTGGGTAATATTATCGCATCGACCATTTCATAACCTTGAATTGAGGTATGAAATTAGACAAGATCACTCACCCACCCATGAGTGAGAAGCCACCAGTGGAGACATTCACTATAAAAAGGGTGCAGGGGATTTGGGGAAGGAGGTAGATACTACTACTGTGGAGCCTGTGGCTGAGGGGAAAGGAAGTAAAGAACCTGTACAATATGAGGCTTCTGATGGCCTTTCTTTTAGTTGGACTGAGGATCAGAAAGATGATGAGGGTGAAAAAGAAGAAGAAGTTGTGAACAGTCATGAGGAGCATGATTCAAAACATAGCCAATAAAGAAGAAAAGAGAGAGAATGAGGGAGCATCTGGAGATGAGAAAGAGAGTGATACAGATGATAAGACAGGTGAACAGGTTAATGATTCTACAAAGAAGAAAATCATAGTGAACAAGAGGAGGACTCTGAAAGTGAGGGCTAGGATCAAGAAAAGGTAAGTGAGAGTGAAGGAGGTGATAAAGAGAGTGAGCAAGAAGATGGGAATGTGAGTGAGGAATCTAAAGGTTCCATGACAATTGGAAACACTTTCATAGCCCCTTCAGAAAAAACTAGTGAAGAGACAAGGGCTCAAGAACCTGGGTCTCTGTTAACTCCTTTCACTGGAGATGAAGAAGTTAGCGGTGATGAAGATGATGTGCCACTATCTAAGGTAGGGAAGAAATCCAGGAAAACCCCTGTGGAAGCTACAAGTCAGTAGTCTCAACAAGGAAAGGAGTGGCTCATCCTGCCAGAACTCCTCTCACAAGGATTAAAAGAAAGGTTGTTGATGCACAAATCATTAAGGAGTCTAGAAGTGCAAAGAAGCCAAAGAAGAAGGTATCAATTGTGGAATGTTTTTGAGATGGATGGAGAAGATGAGTCTGACTTTGCCTTCAGCTAAGTCTGCTACACCAAAGAGAAAGGGTGCCAAAGTCACCAAACCTGCTACCTCTTCTGCAAGGGCCAGTAGGGGTAAGACAATAAAGAATGTGCCAGCTGCAATTGATTGACTCACAGAGTTTAGGAACAGAAAAGTGCTAAATGGATGCAAACACTGATGAGAAGGGGATGGCTCAACTAGTTTAAAAACTTGAGCTATAGGGGTGGAAGCACATGTTTGTCAAAGCTTTTCCCCAGTTCCTTCTGTAGTGGAGTTCTATGCAAATTTCAAATTTGATGGGAAAGTAGTCAAGAGTAAGGTAGGGGGCTCTGAAATGGAGTTTGATGCTAAGGAGCTGGGGATACTTCTGAATATCTCTTTCTTGGGATTTGACAACTACTTGAAGAAGAAATTTCCGACCATAGACAATGATGCTACTTTGCTAGACATGGTTGTGATGGAGCTGCTTGACACTGGTAGACCTTTAAATCTTCCTAGCATGATGATTCAGCACATGGAAGGAGTTGCAAATACTTCCAAACCCAGGCATGTTATGTCTTATGGTTTCAGGTTGACTGAGTTGTTTGAGAAGCTCAACATTGCCTTACCCGAGCTTAAGTTTGGAAACCACAATGACGTCTTGGATGTTGTTACTCTCAAGAAGTGTGGGTATGAGGAGATCAAGGCTAGAGGACCCATAGGATTTGCTATTCTACCTGTGAGCAGTACGGTTGCAGAGCTCAACAAGAGGTTGGAGTTGGCTGTTGAAGAGAATGACAAGCTTCGTGAAGACAATAATGAGCTGAGAAAGGAAATTAAGCAACTCGGGGAAGAGCTCAGAAGATTTAAGGAGGCTCATTCCCAACAGATTGCCACCCTTGTGAAAGCTTTGACCCCCTCTACTTCTCACCCATGAACCTGTTCCTTCCCAGTGTCCTTAGTTCTTTTGCTATTCCAGCGATGCCTTATCTTTTGTTCTTTTTTGTCTTAGTGTGAGTAGTTTGCAGTATGCTTAGTTTATTTTGTTCTAATGATGAAGACAATGACTTAGGCTTCTTTTGGCACTACTTAATGTCTCATCTTGCTCTGCTTTACTACTTTGTACTATATTGAATCATCAACCTAGTCTATTTGCCTTTTCATAAGCTTGTGTTGTAGCCTATTTGGTCTTGAATCTTACATTATCTGTGCTTAATTTCTGACATTTTTTTGTATGTTTTCGATGATGCCAAAAGGGGGATGATAAGGTTGGAAGTTTGTGGGTTGTGAACATACATGTCTGTCAATAGTACTTGTTGTGATTATCCAGTTCTTTGATGTGATTACGTGGTTTTGGCGTGTACAAAGCTTGTCATCATCAAAAAGGAAGAATTTGTTGAGTATTGAAGTTTTGATAATTAACCAAGTATGACTAAATGTTTAAAGAACCAGGTCTTCAACGTAACTGCTTAACCGTTCTGAAGAATCAGCTCCTCATAATTGATACTTGTACGTTTGTACAAGATAGTAACTTTACCTCAAAGTTACCCAGGTCCGAGTTTGGTGGAAGAAGGCTACTATAAGTGATGAGGGTCGTTCCTCAAGAAGATACAGATAATTCAGTCAGAGACAAAAATCCCAAAGCTTGTGGAATCCTTGAAACATTAAGAGTCCTATCAAAGAGGAAGCTGACTATGAATAGGACTCCTAGAAGATCTCAAGTTGTGTTTTAAATAGGATGGACTTTGGACTTCTGAACTATCCTTTCACATATCAACTAAAGAGTCATAAGTCATTTATTCATGTTGAGTACTTGCCTTGTATTCTTCCTGAGTCAGTCTAGTGAATGTGTTTTAGGAAATTGAGTTGTAATCAAGTGTCATAAACAATTAGTGAGTTGGAGTGAGTATTTTGCTTTACAAGTTAGAGTAACTTGTGAATCAAATAGGAGTAGTAGGAGTGCTGGAGAGTATTTAATTACAGTCTTGTAATTGATACATTTTGGCTCATTGTTATAGTGGAGTTGGAGTTGAAATCTTACGTGGTAAGTCGTGATCTTTGCACCTTTTGAGCCGGGTGATTTTCCACGTAAAAATCGTTGTGTTCATTTTATTGCTTGTTTGCTTTACGCTTAAGGAACATGGTAAAGAACCAAGTTCTTTAGTAATCCATACGGACACTCAAACTAACAATCATATACAACTAACTTTACAAACACATAAGCCACGTCTCAGCATGCTAAGACATACAAACGATATAACAAGTCATAACCAGAACTTGATTCAAGATTTAACAAGAAGCAGATTCAGAATTTAAAGTTTATTAATATTGAATTTTAAAAAATAACTTATTAGATTATGGATAAATTTTTATAAATATTTAATGATTTTTTTAATGCAAAACAGAATTTTAATTAAAGGTACTAGGTTCTACCGAACCCGTAGCTAAACTCTAGCTCTGTCACCTTATAAATCTTTACTTATAAAAAAAAGATGAATTAATATTTTCGACAGATATCTCATGTGCGATACAGACGTGGTCACACATACAAGGCAACTCTGTCTCTCTCCATGTTTGACTGCAGATCTAACTCGTGTCATTTGACACTCTATCCAACTTAATTTTTCCCAAATTATAATCATTATCACCATCATATGAGCCAGCAAAGCAACGTGACGATTAACTTTATTTGTCTCGACCTTTGGTTGGTGACAATTATTTTTATCGTTAAAGATTATGATGTGACAGATATAATACTTTTCATTTTTATCTAAAGTTTACGAATTCGAACTTAAAATAAAAAAATAAAATAAAAACCTATAGATTGCACTTCTCCTATTAATTTGACTTTTACGCAGTGCGAATCTACTGTTACTATTCTACTATATATTATGATAAACGTAATAAGTTTTAAATCCCTCTTTTCCAACAAAATAGTTTTAATATAATATTTTAAAATAGCTTGAATTGAATGAGAAGCAAATTTAGCTATATATGTCCACCATTAATCAAATTTAGTTATGTCCACATTTTGAATTACAATGGTCATTGTCCTACCTTGAGTTCTCTCCATCCGATTCTCCCCATTTATCTCTCATTTATCTACTTTCTTGAAACCTTTTTATAATTAGTTTTTTCCTCCAAATAATATATATATATATATATATATATATATATATATATATATATATATATATATATATATATATATATAACCTCAGTATATTACTATCAATTTCTAGTGGTGGTATCTCACTCCTTTGACTACCTTTCTCATTCACTATATTTACAGGATATATATTTCATTACCAACTGATTTCCTACCATCAAAGCTTCCTCTATTTGTGTTTTTTTCCCCCTATTTTTCCTCTTTGTTTCTCTTATTCCTCTAAATTCCTCCACTCTTTTTTTTTCTTCCTTTTTTTGGGTCCTTTTCTTGCTTTCATTTCACATAAATTTTGTGTTAGGGGATGTTGGAGGCATTTGATGGTGGATGAAGGAAGATTATGGATGCTCTTGAGGAAGTGGATGTAGGTTGCCCTAATAAGGACCTCTTCCACATCGTTAAGGGCAAACGCACCAAACGTCTCCGCCTTTCAGGCGTCCCCTGTAATAACAACAACAATAATAATAATTTCGAAGATGGTAGGGACAATGGAGAAGGTATCGCCTGCAACAATAACAACAATAATATGGAAGATGATAGCGATAATGGAGAAGGTGTAGTCGCTTGCAAAAACAACAATAATAATATCGAAGATGGTAGAGACAATGGAGAAGGTATCACATGTAAGAATAACAACAACAATAATATAGAAGATGGCAGCGGTAATGGAGAAGGTGTAGTCGCTTGCAAAAACAACAACAATAATATCAAGGATGATAGTGGTAATGGAGAAGATGTCGCCTATAACAACAACAATAACAATTATTCAAATCCCTCCTCGGCCAACTCGGCCGAGATATTCATCAACACATTCACCGATGAGGAGGAGGAAACCGCCAAGTCTCTCATCCTCATGTCCAAATTAAGTGATGATCATCCCCGTCCTCTTAGGTTTACGTTGCCACCTGACAATAAAGTCGATTTTTTCAACGACGATTTAAGGTTGTACCAAACCAAATTCAACAGCAAAAGGTACATCGAGACGTCCACAAACTCAGCAAATGGTACCAAGGCAGGAATATATGTGTACGAATGCAAGACATGCAATCGTACATTCCCATCATTCCAAGCCTTGGGTGGACACAGAGCAAGTCACAAGAAACCAAAGACAATAGTAACCACTGAATTATCAAACAAGAAGTCAACATATTTCGATTTCTCAGATGAAGATGATTATCAAGAACTCTCACCATCAACTATAACATTGTACAAAAACAACAAGAATGTTACAAAAACATTGCCTAATTCTTCCAACAACAAGTTTTCTTCTCCTAGGATTCATGAATGCTCATATTGTGGTGCTGAATTTACATCAGGACAAGCTTTAGGAGGTCATATGAGACGACATCGCGGGGGCGTTACCGTAAATTCACCCTTGCATTTGAGCAATTTAAGTCCAGCAACTTCTATAGATCAAGAATTTGGTAATAATATTATGAAAAAACCAAGAGATGGGTTGTCTTTAGACCTTAATATTCCAGTCTCAGATGATCATCTTGATCCAAAATTTCCAGTTGTATCCTTAAATCAACAAGATCAAGAACAAACACAAAGGCAACAGCTGGTTGATTGTCATTATTGAAAATGGTACATGTTCTTTTTTTTTTTTTTTTTGGATACATTGACATGGTGAAAAAATTGTAGATGGGAGTCACCACCAATTATATTCTTTTATTTTATAGTTGTTATACAAATTATTTACATACTTTAAATATTTCTCAAGTTTATAACATTCATTAATTAAGTGGGGGATTAGTAAAATCTCTCACTTACTATATTTTTTTCTATAATGCGCTTTATTTGCTTCATGTTCCTAGTTCCTACTACATATAAGGTAAGATTTAAACTATAGTAGTTTGTTTTTCATTTTGTTTCTCGATTGGATCTCAAGTGAGAGAGAAAGTATAACCACTTTAAGGAAGGCAGTTGTCATGGATTAGCTGTCATCACCAGCGAGCAGAGTCTTTAAGAATTTTTTTATTTCTTACTAATTAGCTTTCATGGGTTCTCTCCCGGTCACACACACAAAGGGAAGCGTCAGAGTTGTGGTGGAGTGGTAAATACTCCTTCCTTCTTAACCAGAGGTTTCAGGATCGAGCCTCGATATGAAGTTGCCTTGTTAGGGAGCACTTTACCCTCCAATATGGGATTTCCCGACACGAATTCTGATTTAGTCAGGTCCCAATACGGGTATCGGACATTAGGTGGAAAATAAAAATAAAAAGGGAGAGCCGGAGTATTAAGGACGTAACTTTTGGTTAGACCCTTTATTTGCGTTAGGAAAAACAAATTTAAATATCTATGAATATTAAATTATACTAAAATGAACTATGAGTTTGATGGTAAATTCAGAACTCATAAACTTCAAATCTTGGCTCGACGTATGCGTACACACAATTCATACGAAGGAATGAGGAATAAAGATCCGAAAGACCAGTAAAAAGTGACTGCATTTGCCACATTAATTAATTAAAGTACCATTTTCAGGATCTCTCATTCTTTCTCTTTTTCCTTAAAAACGTGAATAGCAATAATGCACTTACGTACAGTAATTAGTTAACAGCTGATACATGACATGTTATGCCTGTACTGTACATTCACACATCCACAACACTTGGATCCTCATATGCATGTTCTTATTAATTCTTTGCCACTCTACACTTCTCACAAGATTGATAAAACATATAGATAAAGCGAATCCAGAAATTTATACAAAGGGTTTCAAAAAAATTCTAGGATATTACAGAATTTAGACCTATGATCTAAAGCAATTTTGAACCCTCCTTACTACTTTCCTTGAATTTTTCTTATTATCAAGGGGATTCAACATTATACATATAATTAAAAAAAAAAAAGATCAATTTTACTCTATTCGTACAATGTAATTCCCCGACAAAAGAGTTCGGTTGAACACCTTTTATGCTACTTAGAAAGGTTGGAATTTAGACCTACCGAATCAAGGCTTGGACAAAGAGAAAAAAATAATCTAATGTTCTCGCTTCTGCTGGAATTCGAACCTGAGATTACATAGTTCTATGCTCACTTTACATCTATCATCTATGTAATATAAGTCCCATAAATTTTGCAGAACTTAACAATATAAAAGTCAGAAATCTCCCTCATTAGCTAATCAAGAAACTCCAAGTTGTAAACATCCAAGACTGAACAATATATTTGTTTTGTTTTTTCACTTCTTTATTTATAATCTTAGAATAAGATCTCTTGTGAAAGTGCATGCATATTCCAAGTGGCAATTTGTTTATTATTCTGCCAATAAAAAATAGGTTGGCAAAAGGGTTAAGGAAGGCAAGTAACTTGCATGAAAGATTTTATTTAGGTTTGTGTATTGCACGTAAGGAGATTGCCCTAAGACAGGCAAAGTTCACTTCATGTTCTTAAACCAACCCCTTGTCATAGTCCACATTTTCCCAAGATTATAAATCGATCTTAGTAGAATACACAATCTTTTCGATCCTTTGATTGATTTGTAAATACCACTGAAATCTGAATATGGTACAAATAATTAAATACATTAATTAAAGAAAAAGACATAATTAAATAAATAAAATTATAATATCTTCAAACTTTTGGATGAGGTGATTGTATAGTTCAATACAATAATTAAAACAGATTGTTGACCAAGTACAAATAATACGGATATTATCAACCTAAACTGATTAGGTTGCTGATTAATACCATTACTACAACTTGCCACATATTCTGTTTACTTCACATCTGTTTGTTTTGAAACTTCTTTTTCTTTTTCGAGAAGTGGGGTTGGGGTAGGAAATACAGTAGCTTCTGAGCAACTCAAGAATGACATGTTTGTCGCAATTTAGCAACCAAGCAACAACCATGTCGCAAATAAAATAATCAGTGTGTTTATTGAGAATCTAAGAGAATCACCAAAAAAAAGGTACTTAAACAACAAGAAAAACAAATATTTTATTTAAGACACCAGTATTACACAAATATTTGACATAGCAATTCTCTCTGATCATCAACTTAAAAGACTAATCATCTTTCTGGTTACTTCCCTGTTAAATAATCAGAAAAATGGGATCATTTTTGTGGTATATTTCTTCTAACTGAACCTTTCTCCCTTCCATTGCTCCCGGATCCTAAATTGTCTATATATGTCCGACCATAAGCCTATTACTTATTTCTTGATCCTCCGTGGCCATTTTCTAGAACTGAACATAACAAGTACAATTCATGTACAACTTTGAATAAGCAGAAGGCTTTTTGTACAAGCTTAACTCACTGAACCAGGTTCTCCCTTTCATGATGAAAAAAACCATATTTTACCGAGGTTCAACAAACACAGAAGTTGTCCGGGCAGGCACATTAAAGCAACCCGAGGATGCATCATATGTTGAGTTCTTAACAACATCATCAGTTGAGTTCATCTGGAGATGCAAAAGTAAAATGAACATCTTGACCGTCATACAAGTAGCAAGTCATGCAGGAAATGAGATTGTATTAATACTTTTATTGGCTTCCTTCGACTACCTCTAGCGTTGGTTTTTTTAATCTTTTGCACAAGTTAAATATAGTGAAAACAAATGTAAGACACCTGCAGTAAAGGCCCAAATCCAACCCAACAATATCGAAGATGTTTAATTCTTCCTTTTTATACCTACATACACAAGTACAGTATCTCTTTCTTAATGCTGATGGAAAAAGCTACTACTGGAAAAATAGACATAATACTCACTTCATCCTGTTTTATATAACTTTGTCATATCAAATACGAAATTTGAGATATTAATTTAACTTGTTTATATTACTTATGGTGAAAATAATAGAACATTAGTTTAAAAGTTAGTTTAATGAAGCCAAGTCCATTTATAAACTCTCCACAGAGGATATAATTTGTGTTTTTGGAAGCACACTAAAAAATAAGGCATATTCAGCTATGCATGTAACCGTATGCAACTTGAAACAAATGATTACCTGTATTGGATGCAATTGAAGAGATCTTGCTCTTAGTGCAGGATTGGCAAATGAGACATCAGTCGGGCCGGGATTAATGATGACAACTATATAGGAATAACTGGTAAAATTAAGAAAAAATATTGTCATTCAATTTTATGATTCAGGTATCAACAGATAAAGCAGCAGTAGAAGGCCTAAAGCTGGATTAAATCTACCCACATTGGATCCAATTGAGAAAGCCCTGGAACTCCCTGATGGCCATCTTCAATGCTCATTACTATAAGACCAGGAATCCACGACGGACCAGTATTATGAAATCGTACTCTTTCCTGGTGAAAGGCGTCAATTTGTGACGATCAAACTCTAAAGTAATTGCACAAAACTGAAGAAAAAGAAGACAAAATATTTACATATGGATACGTATTTACATTCTAACCTGGATAGAATTGGCCGTCCTTAGCCGGAAGAGTGGTGAGGAGTATCTTATTTGCATAAGGTTCGAAAAATTTTCAACAGCTGCAAGGATATGACTTTTCTGAGGCTTGTAGGATGGATCTGCTAGTCTGGGTTTGATTCTGAATATGAAAAATAATAGGACAGACTATTAGTCGGGTCACCAATTGGAAAACCATCTTGATTGTATGTATCAGAACTTCAACCAAAGATCTAGATGCAACATGCACCTTCCCTCACCCCAACCACCACCTGGCCCCCAAATCTTTCTTTTTCTTACGGGAGAAATATAAAGCTGGAATGATAGCGCTGAAATCACTCACAGTGGCCAGTTCCATTCATTCTTCTCTTTCGGAGGGAGACCAACACCCCAGTTGTTAGAGTTGTAGCTAAAATCCAGCCTGAAAAATCACAACATACAAGCATTCAGTGTAACATAAGAACATTTATAAGGGAAAACCATGTCTAAGAAAAGTAGGAAAAGTAAGATTTAGAACCAGAATAGATGTCAGTGCCTAAATCAGAAGTTGAACAGTAAGAAGGGACATGTCCATCACGCCAAAATCGTTTATCTGGCCTTAACTTTGCAGAGCAGAGATAATAGTCATCTAAGATTCTAAATTAACAAAAGACGCTTGCTGAAGAAAATAACTTGTAACAGGGAGAGGTGGCGGACCTGTTGAACCAATCACCGGAATTGTAAGAATCACGGTCTATTGATTTTGAGCGCAGCATTTCATCTCCAGAATGGAAAAAAGGTATTCCCTGTGAAAGGTTAGCAAGTATCAGTAACAAAGAGAAATATCATAACCACTCAACCTTATAAGCTAGCATGATAAATATGTATTATACTTAATTCATCATGCAAATCGCAATAGTAAAACAGTATTTCAAATTATACAAAGTTAACTAGTAAAGCTTATGAGTTGCAACTCATATTATCATTGACAGAAAGAATGGCAAAACGGTAGAAAGTAGGCCAAAGTTAAATTATAAGACGCATAAATTCTTCGAAGGACAAACTGAGTCTGACCTGAGACAGAGCTATTACACTGGTCGCTAAGTGGTTCATCCTGCATCTCTCCTCCACAGAAATGTCCTTTGGAGTCTATCAAAGTGAAGCGACTAATTTATACCGGAAAGGAAACAATGTGATGTATAGGTGCATATTATCCATCGAGTTTCAAACCGTGTTCCACTGGTCCTCGAGGATTTCTTGGTTATCAAAAAAAGAAAAAAAGGTGGCATATTGCAAGAGAAAAATATACCTTAAGACTAATGATGTCGAACAGTGTCTCATTGTCATGAGCAGACACATAGTTAACCTGCATATAATCAAAACTATCAAGGAAACAAGGTTGTGATAGCGATTGCATTATTACATAATAAAGGAGGCATAAGATATGGAATGCAATAGATATATAGATCCTTACTGTTTCAACGGGAGAAGAAGCATATCCAACTGGCTTCCTATCATGCAATAACACTTCAGATCCTTTCACCTAGGCAAGAACAGTAAACAGTATTCAACGTACCATCTCCAGTGTCAAGTTAAGTCAACATTCTAAAAGATAAACTATAAGCATTTTCCAAGTGGAACCAGTTTATACCAGCAAATAGAGGGGCCACTCCTTTTCTTTTAATCAGATTAAATCTTCACATTCAGTAAGGCAGCATATTAGCAAATTCGTTATCCCTAATACTAGCTTGCTGTCGAAATGATATAGTATTTGATTTCAATAGCCACTCCAGTTGTTGTACCTCATCAGTCTCAAAAAAGATAGTTCCCTCTTGCCTCTACTAATGAGTTTATTTAGACCAGATATTAATCTAAATGCATCGTTTGAATATTTCACATGTAAAATTCTTGCAACTGGTAGTATTTTTCGTTTAGTTTCTAAAATTCTGGAGTTTTATATCCAAAAGAAGATTCAAGCAAATGCAATTTCACATGGATATTTTGGTCAGATCGAACCTTAAAGAAGCTAAATATGATTATCTATTTGGGCTTTTGGATAAGTAGAAAAAAAAAGGGTAGCCCGGTGCACTAAGGTCCCGCTATGCGCGGGGTCCGGGGCGGGGAAGGGTCGGACCACAAGGGTCTATTGTACGCAAGCTTACCCAGCATTTGGATAAGTAGAAGTAAGACTGAATACATGCACGGCAAGTTTAGTCAGCATGAGAAGAACGAAGTTGAGGTGGGACTAGATGGGATTGTAGTGCCAAAATGCCAACAATTTAGATATCAAGGTTCATCCTTTCAAGACAATGGAATGATAGATGAAGATGTTACCCGTAGGATTAAAACTGGATGGTTGTAGTGGAGAAGTGCTACCAGGGTGTTATGTGATAGAAGGATGACTACCAAAATGAAAGGTAAGTGATATAGAACAGCTAGAAGACTGGCAATGTTATATGGTAGTGAATGTCGGGTTGCTGCCTGCTAAAGTCCAACATATCCACAAGATGAGTGTTGCAGAGATGCAAATGCTAAGATAGATGTGCGATTATACAAAATTAGATAAGATTAAAAATGACCACAATCACCAGAATGTGCAAGTAGCACGTATGAGGATAAACATCAGAGAATGTCACTTGAGATGGTTTGGTCATGTCTTGCGTCGCCCTACACAGACACCGGTCCTTAGGTGTGAAATTATAGTGAGTGAAGGTGTTAAAAGGGGACGAGGTAAACCTAAAATCACATGGAAGGAAGTTGTCTTGATAGACCTACAAATCCTTGGAATCAATGCAGACTTAACTAAAGATAAGGAACAATGAAAGAAAAAGAGTCATATAGGTGATACTTACTAGTTAGGAATAAGCTTTAAATTTGTTAAAGACTTCTAATTTTATTACTATATATATATATATATATATATATATATATATATATATATATATATATATATATATATATATATATATATATATATATATATATCACTATAAAACACTTATTTTCACTACTACTCTTATTTTATTTTGGCATGATGATGATATGAGTTGAGCTCAAAGAAAGAAGTGAGGATTCATATAGCCTACCCCAACTTTGCTTGGGACCGAAGCGTAGTAGTTGTTGTTATATTTGGGACATAGAAAGTAGTTAATACATGCATTTATTTAGTTAAAAAAGTTTTCTTTGGTTTATTGGCTAATGATCCGATCAAAGGAACAATTGGTACAAAAGTATCGAGCTTCTTAATTGCATTAGTCATTAGAAATGAATAGCAATAATTATCTTATAACTTCAATTGTAATGATTTGCAGTATCACCGCGATGTAAATATGATACAACGTAAATGGCAATCGAATCTATGGATACCTCTTCACCATCACAGTTAGTTAGCACAAAATCCTTTAAGTTTGCAGCCATTCCAACCTGAAAAACAAACATGCTCGTTTAGACAAAGAAGAACTGAAAAAATATTTAAGTCATGATAACTTTTCCACCACAAATATGTGTCTTAAAAGACATTTAAAATCTCATTGTAGTCCTCGCAAAAAAAGTATATATAGAAGGTTCTGAATCATGACAGTATTATAGCATGATTCAAATACACACAAATCGCCTATCATTTTTGATGATTTTGTAAGTAAATACACAATTACATTGAACGTTTCTGGATTTTTCCATTTTGTCACAAAATAATTTTCCAATTTCCCTTCTTGATAGTGAAACAGAGTGACGTCTAACTAGTATATTGAAATTACTATCTCATCATTTCAAAAAGGGGGGAAATTGCAACATATAGCCTTTACCTCTTTATATATCCAAATTTTAGGTCTGGAAAAAATGAACTAATTCTACGCCTGACTTACTGGCAATACTTGGTCAATCCAGTCCATCATAACAAAAAGGGGTCCTTCAACTCTGACCTATGTTACATTAACTTGAATATCTCATGCTCTCTCTCTGTCTCTCTCTTGAACCCAGCCAAATCATTCTATTCGTAAAAGCTTTATATGGGTGTGGTTAAGTATCTAGTATATGTACCTTCAGTTTTTCACGAGTTTTTAGAGCATTTTGAAAGATCTACTTGAAGCGCCCATATCATTGTCTCACTCAAACAAGACATCAAGGATCATTAGGACGTTAAGTTCGTAAAAGCTTTCTACTATAGGACGGTTATGTATCCAGTATATGTACCTCTAATTGTTTGCGTGTTTTAGTGCATTTTGAAAGATCTGTCTGAAGCACCCATAGGCCGTAATCATTGTCTTACTGACACAAGATATCAAGACAAGTCATGTTACACGCATTGGAATATATTGTATTATATGGAATAGATTTCTTCGAAAAGTTTTTGGCTTTAGTTATTTAGTTTTAAAACGTGAAAAAGAAGCTACCATGAATCTTATTAAGCAATAGATTAATAACTTAGATTACATTGTTCCCACAGTTTCAAATTGAATGACTTGATTTCATGACTGTAAGTTTACTTTTTTGCTTTTATAGAATAGCAAAAGAAAGTTGTATTCAGAAAATTACTTAATACTTTTTTTAAATATTTTGTGCAGTGTAATGTGTTCAGAAAGCTTCCTTTGTGAATATTTTTCTAACACGGACTAAAACGGAAAGGATAAATATTTACCGGAACCAAGGGTGTAAATAATAAGAGTGAATTGTCTTTCATGCAAATTTCTTTGGCCATTATGTGGTAAATGCTGAAATGCCATGCTACTGGAATAGGGCTGAGTACCTGAATGTGATCCTTCGACACAGCAAGCATACGTTCTACATTGGCTTTATCACCAAGATCATGACCATTAGGCTGAAGAGCAGCACATAAAAGTTATTGAGATGGTGTTTCATGTAGATATACAATAACTATCCGTATTATGAATGGATTACTTAAAACTCAAAATAGACACATGGGAGAAATTTATCACAAGCATTATATTTCCAAACGACTAAAAGTTTACCATTACCTCCAAATAAAGGCCAGTTACAAAACCTTGGTGTAGAGGATGACCAAAAGGTGATCCACCTAGCAGAGCATCCCGAATGCGATCATTGAAGCTGGTCGTGAATCAAGAACAGACGATGAATAAAATACTTTAAGTAAAGCATAACTTCATGATATACATCAAGTAGGGACGGAAATATTCCCGTTTAAGCCTAAGAGCTCTTGCAAGCATTAAACCCAGCACATTGGAATTGACACCAGTACACCAGCAATCGTTGGAAAGATAATTTATGCTTTATAGCACAAATGTTCAAAGTACCATCCAGCTATGCTGCTAGGACTCCAAAAATGTTGTTGCACCCGTATCGAATGCTAAAGCTTCACTTTGCAATTTATTATTGGCTCAAAAGAAGAGCCAATTCACATGCAGACACACAAGGAATAGAAAATCATCTTCTTTAGACAGGGAAATTGGAAATAAACTCAGAAGTAGCACCTCCCAATTCCAGATCCAAAAAGGTTGAATTGCGATGCATTTATCCCACGTCCACTGTTTGCCACTTCACCAAAATCCCATCCTTCACCATATCTGAAAAGAAAATGTCATTAAGAATCAACTTATAAAAAGGAAACAGAGAATCAATGTAAAGTTCAAGAACAACTCAAAGTACTTAAAGGATCATGCTTTAATAATGGTTACAGGCATAGAAGATGTAACCTTGTAGGGACAAGGTAAAACTACTACCGAAAATGACATATTTAGTAATCAGGATTACAAAAATTAGGATAGATAATCAATGGTAACAGTCCTTACATATAAATACTTGGTCCATCTACGCCATTTTTATCTTTCGACAAGCTATTCAGCAATGACTTTGCCTTCACCTGCATTAAAAGACACGAATATCATATTGTTAGCACACCTAGCTTTGAGTACCACTAATTTGAAAGAGCCAATTAATCACAAATTCGAATACACAAGGAGCAGAATTAACTAATCCACTTGTTTATGCAGTTTTACAAACTACGGAATGCACAAAAAAACTGTTGCCCTACTCAGATGACCTTCAGTTTGCAGACATGCCTACAACCAGAATGATCATGTCAGCCTGTGCATGTCAACATTGTTACGTGACATCATAATTTCCGTATAACAATGTCAATTGGAAATGGGTTAATCACAAAACTGCATAAGGTAAAACATTTTGGCTAGCAAATCAAAACCCATAAACAAGAAGAAAAAAAAAAACTCTTTAAGAATTAAAAGGAAACAGCCTCTTGTAATGTTGCCTAAGATCAAACCCAAATACCCTCAGGTAGTCTAAGTTGGGTTAGACAGAACTGCAGAATAAACAGTATATGTCGTGCCTACAAGACAAACATGATAGAAAATACCGCAGAAAAAAATTGTTTTCTTTTTCAACACGCCTTACTTGAGGGCCTTATTTTTCACTGCTTTTCATTGCATCTTCTATAATCATAATTTTTTCATCTGTTAAGTTTAAACATGGCTCAAAGTAAAAAAGGCTTCCAAAATTAGCCAATGGCCCAATAAATCCACAGATCATCAGAAAGATGCAAGACAAAGACCTAAAATGACTTACAAAATTAACTATTTAACACCATAAATTAGCAAATGAAAAACAAAATAGACAAGTATAAATTACTACCTCCATCACAAAGTTCTTGCCATACTTCCCTTTCTAGATTGTCCCAAAATATTCTCCATTTCCTTGACTATAAAATTTAATGCATTTCACATAATGTAAAGTATCACAGGACCCACTATTGCTCTTCGAAACAAAATCTTTTCCTCTATCCTACTCTTCCACCAACAAAGGTTTATATAAGCCCAACATGTTTCCAAACAAATATGTCAGAACTCGTCATTTCAAATGGACCAAATTAAAACAGAAATTTCCTATCTCGCAAAAAAACAGCTTTAAATGCTTACCATTGTACGCTTCATTATATGACCCATCAGGTCAAACCGAAATCCATCAATCTGCAGAAGACAAATATGGTTAACACAATTAATTCTGAGGATATTCCTGAAAGTGGTAAGCTCCACAGTTATCAAGCACATATATATGCTCTTTCAGAGACGAATAGGAATGCATAGCGAGTAAGAAAGGGGATATGGGTTATCAATTGTATGAAATAAGCATAAGATGAAGGTAACTGATTTTATTAGTTATAAGTTGGTTTGACTCATACTAGTGTCAAACATAAGCTTCAATGTTCCTTGAGGAAATCACTTAACAACTGTTCAGACTTTAGGCATTTTCCATGTTCAGCCATCGACATCAAGTACATAAAGCATGGTTTAGTATGATGTTTGAGCAATAAGAATTGATGGTGAGCCTGTTAAATTTATGAACCATCTCATCTAAAAGCTCAAACTGTTAGAGAGATACACTTCTATTTATTTACTTTAGGTCTTCAATACATCCATTCACGCGTGGGATCTTTTTCTTGGGTCAAACGCATGGAAATATTTTGTTTAGGTAGTGATATGACGCGAATTCAGGACCTTTGTGGCGCTGTCCACTCTAATACTATTTTAAATGTATAAACCATCTCATCTAAAAGTTTTATCTGTTAGAGGGGGGGGGGGGGGGGTTACTTTTTACTCATTTATTACAGGTCTTCAACACAGCCTTTGGGGTGGTATACATATTGTTTCTGATAGTTTACAACAATTAAAGTTGAGATGTCATTTCAGATTGCTTAATAGGCAGTTAAGTCAACCACAAGAAAATCAAGGAACCATTATTCCATTTAGCACTAGCAAGTGTCTTATTGTGCTAATTGATAACTGGATAAGGTTCATTAGTCAATCCTTTATCAGAAGAACATTTTATCTCACTGAGAAAATACATCATTTTAAGAGCCTCACGTCCTACTTGAAATCGTAGGTAGCATAAAAAAGCAGCAGTTTCTTCTGGGATTATGGTTGCACGGTTTCTAAATTTCCACTCCAATTCAAGTACTTTTGCTTGCTTTAGATCAGTAACTACAGTCACATGTCATAGACATTCTCTGAGTTACCTTACCAGGTTTGGGGACTCATTAGTGACATATATCCAGAATAAGATTTTAGATGTTTTAGAATCCTTGTGAGAAGACCAAGGATTACAAGTGTTTTTACTTTTGTTTGAACACTTTCTTTGTAATTATGGGTGACTTCACAATTTTAGTGAAGTCTTTATATTAATATACAAATATGTTACCTTCTCAAAAAAGACTTCAAAACTAAGCTTCTTATCATTCTTTTTTGATGAAGGGAGGGCATTATCATTAATAAGCATCACGAAGATGCAGAACAAAAGTTACAATTACAGCTTGATGGTGTCTGAACTAATATATAGCTAAGGAGCAGACACAATCCGAAAAGATTTCACAGCTAGATATAGGTGCCTGATTGAGCCAACCAAATATTCAGTAAGCATTTGGCTTTAAGTACATGACAAGGAGTTGAGATCCCATCAACACATGTACGATTCTTTCATTCCAGATACACCAAAAAATTGAAGCAAGCAAAATGCTTCTCATCATTCTAATCTCCTATAGCAGCAAATCTAAAGGTGCTTCTATTCGCATGCTCATAATGGCAAAGTAGTTCAGAGATTTTAAGATCACAGTTGGATAATGATATTCATATGTAAAAGTTCCTAGATTCAGACTTCCCAACAAATGAAATCAGTCTGGAGCTTACAGAGGTTTCATTTGCTAGAAGATCCAGTTGTCTAACTTATCGCCTAGTAATCCACATCCATCTCCCATCCGATTTTTGAATTTCAAAAAGCCTTTGATAACAACTTCATCTGACAATCTCCTTTTTCTTTGAAAGCCAACCTCAAAATTTAACATAAAAATTGTGGATGTCATAAATTACAAAACAGCAAAACTGAACCAAGAATTTCTTTCTTCATATTGAGTTGCTACGTTCACGGTGTCCCAAAAATACGAACTATGCAGCTTTTAAACAGATAGTCCACCAAACAAAACAAGACGAAACCTTAAAACAGAAGGGAGACGAATTTAAGGCTCTACGATGTCTTTATCCCAATTGATCGAGAAACCTGAGCCCAAGGTGCTTATGTAGCTGGTCACCGTTTGAGTAAGATCCTTGATGACTGATTCATAACCCACTAACACTTTCAGTCTTGTGTTAAGTGTTTGCATAGCATCTCATTTCATAGCAAATGATTGTGAGAGTGCATGGAAATATACCTTATAATGAACTGCCCAGCACTTGAGGTCGTCAAGAATTAAGCGCTCAACCATGAAATGCTCACTGGCAGTATTGTTTACGCATGTGCTATTTTCAATACCACCATCAACATTTCTTCTTAGATAGTAACCTGGAACAATCTGTTGATAGCAGAGCCAACAAAAAGTAGGTATAAGGAAAGCAAGTTTAATGTAAGGCTATAAACATAAAGTTTAATGAGGCGGAACATAACAATTTCTCACCTTGTCTAGAACAGAGAAGTCATCAAAGTGACCACTTGCATTTATATGATTGTAAACAACATCCGATACAACACGTAGACCAATACGATTAAGTGCCTGTAAACCAATAAAGCCTTAGAGAGGCACCGGTGAATTGAACAATAAAGGTCGATGGTCTCTCCATTATAAACAGAAAGGTTGATGGTCTATTTAGTATAAACTTAAGAATGCAACTAAAATTTGATCTTTAGATAAAAGGACAAGAAGATATACCTGTACCATTTTCCGAAACTCAATAATACGACAAGGACCATTTGCATTACTAGCGTAACTTCCCTTTGGAACTCCCCAAAGAACAGGATTATACCTTTTCTTAGACAGCGGATAATTCAATTTTCAGATCAGTGGGCCAGGAAACTAAAATCAGCTTAGATACAAATTGAAACTCTAAGCATAGAATCTCACCCCCAATTATACCCATCTTCATTTTGGATGGCTGTGATAAGAGCCTGCTGCTCCTCAGAATCTGGTGGAAAAGAGTTGAGCTTCTCGATATCTGATAGAGACAACACATGAGAGACTAGGCGACAAATATGAATGAGATGAGATCCAGAGGCTAACCCAAAAAGGCAATTAACAACCTTTAAAAAAAATCTAGAAGAGAAGTGGTATTAAACTAATTTGAATATGTTATTGTTTAGTTAATTATCCATCCTGCCGTCGCAGCAGGTGACAGAATAGCAGATCCAGTCTGAGGGAAGTAAATGCCTCGTTTGGTCTTTTATTGCTTTATTTTCAGATTACCACCTTCGGCTTCAATTTAGAATTTGTGCTGAGGCTAAAAGAGAAGAATGGAAATACTAAAACCTTGATGGAGAGCCCCCCTCTCAACTGAAACAAAATTCAAGTGCTTTACCTACATGCTTCCATTTATGTTTCTCATCTTCGACACCAGCAAATTGAAAGGTTGGCAGCAGATGGACATGAGTGATACCAGCACTTGATAATCTTTTCAAATGTTTGACACCAGCTGAGTCCTTCAAGCAGAACGAGATCAGGGCAACATGCTCATGAGACATAGTCAATGGCACCTACGTCCTGTGCTTATGTTCTAACAAATATTTCCTAATGCATTGTGCAGTTGTGTGACTTGTGTCAACTATGGGTGCATGGATTAGTGTTGCCATTACCCATCAATCAAAAGCTTGTATGATAAGCACAAAATCAAATAGCTAATACAGAACTTAGAACCTGGTCGCAGAAAGGATACTCTAAAAGAATGAAAAAGGAATGCTGCTATAAAGCATACTGCATAAAGCACGAAATGAAGGAACAGAATGACCGTGTAACTCTTATCAGAGTTGCAAAGTAAGGCCAGACTGGTTAAAAAATGCACTGGTGGGCAATCAAATTGAGGCCAAACTTTTATCATATGCCAGGAGGTGAAACTTAAAATGAGACACTTACATGGACTGTTGGTTTAAAGAACTCTCCATGTTTTCTTTCCTAAAAAGTGCAACCTTTGACAAAGACTTATAAGGCAACAGGTAGCAAGGTTCAGGCTCTGGTGAAAGAGTAACTTTTGCACATAATTCTTGCACATAAGTGGGTAACTTTGTCATTAACAGCTTGTCACAAAAAGCACATTAGAGTTAGACAGTAATAATTTTAGATGTATACCTCTTACCAATAACTCCATAATAATATTCGGGAACCGTGTTCACTCAGGCCTGGTGGCGCAATAAGAGAATGAAGGAGTTAATATGCTTGCTCATGAAGGCGAGGACTCAATCATTTTTCATAAGTTCGACCGGAAAGTTACAAACAAAATTGAGAAGTTGTCTTCTTTGGAGAAGTATATCTGTCTCTGTGTATGTTCATCCTCACTTCAAACATCAAACACGCCATCATTAACTCACTACCCTTTAAAGGTCAAGTCGGTGTACCAATTTAAATCCTGTGCATCTCTAGCTACCATCCTTCATTGGCTGCCTCACCAGCTCCCTAAATACTTATCAAATAGATGTACCTCAATAGTCTTCCCCTCTATAACCACAATCACATCAATCACTACACCATGCACACTAGCAACCACCATCTCATAAGCAGACAAAAATATGCACATGAACATGCATCTTCAAATACAAATTATCATATATTTAATACAATCAGAGATATGTGACTTTCGTGATATTCATATGTACTTATGCGTTTAGTCCTTAACTCCAACTTCTAGTCCAGATATGATACCAGAAACTACCTGCAGCTACATATGTCTTGCTCACATTAAAATGTGATCAAATGTTTATTGTCATCATCACCATTAATAATTCTCAGTGTGCATCACTATGTGTTTCCACCAACTTACACACAATGGGACAAATCTTAAGTAAACCTTTAAATGTCATTTTCGCGAGATAGCATTTATCAGGTACAATTTTATAGCAATCTTTTTCCTGTCATCTGAAATTAAATTCAATGTCGTAAATATACTTTGTACATATTCTAAGACACCTATGAATAGGAGTACAATGCAACTTTTCCTTCTACACAGCTCAAAACTCATTAAGGGAAAAGAAGCAAATGAAGACAATAAATACCATTGCCCAATGTACCTACCGGTTAAAGGCTAGAAAATCTGGCCCAAAGACTTTACACCCATATTAGACGAATCAAATAGAAAAGTAAAGCTACCTGCAATGTGAAGGCAAGATAACCACCCTGAAATTCATGAGGCACAGTAGGGTCATTGGCACTGGCAAAGTGAAAATCATAGGAAAAGATAAGTTATTCAAAAACTGCATAGTGCTCAAAAAATGCATTTTCATTATGTATGCATTATGAATTTCTTCTCAGTAAAGTGAACTTTTTGAAACATGTTATCAGGGAAATGAGTGAATACCCAAAGCCACATTGCGCAGGGGCTACTGGTTTTCAGCGACTCTTTACTAATTATTTTACAGTTACAACTCATTATTCTCATAAAGGAACGACTGTTACTAATATTCACTAAGTGTTTCCAATAAGAATTCAACATTATCAAGATTCCTTCTCACCTGAAATCTCTAACATGCAGCTCATATAGGCTGATATCGGAAAAGGAAAGAAGATTTGGCTTCTCATCTTGTAGATTATCCCATCCTTCAGGTTTTACATCATCAGAATCAAGATTAACTAATAATGTCCGCTTGCCATCAGCAGAGAGACTGCCCATATAAAAGCAACAAGATCAATGTAGAGAACAGATAACAGTCACAATAATAAATGCACTATGGCAGCAGCAAGTTACAATCAGCAAAATAAATTTTGTTGAAAGCAAGTGATTAAAACAGACCAGCATACCCTCTGGCATATGGATCATTGCTCACACATTTCTCAATCCGCAAGGTGCTAGGATGGTAAACAGACACTTCATAAACATAGTAGCAGCCCTCCCAATGCCGTATCCCCTTAACACTCCAAACGCCATTTAGCTCCTTGAGCTGGACAATTTCTACTGGGTCAGCCTCTGCTGGACTCTTATAAATGAGAGCTCGCACCTCCTGTTTTGGTAGGTGTACAACAGGAAACAACACGTTACTTAAATAACACATTGATCCCTCAATCTCACAAAATAAAATTATTCTTTACAAACAAAACCATAATCAAAGCAGGAAAACTTATGAGACAAAAGAATAGAACACACTTGAGCAGTTGGTGCCCAAAGGTAGAGAGAGACAGCTTCAGTATCAAAAACAGCACCAAGGGGCCCGGTATAGGAGAATAACTCATCAAGAATACCAGGTAACTGCAATCCAGTAGCACTTGCACATTTTCCATCAGCTACAAACGACATAAACCCATTTTTACCACACATTAGACATGCTTACATAGAATGTTTGATACACTAATTCAGATAGTGGAGCTGTTAAATTAGCTAACCTAGAGAATAAAAAGGTGTGGAAGTGTAAACCCGACACAAACAAATCAAGGAACAGCAAAGAAACGTTAAAGTAGCAAACGACTGCTCAAATATTTATGATTGCCACTGAAAATTTAGAATAGCAGTGTTCATCTAATCACCAGCAGATGAATTATATTCCCTGAAATATGAGCAAATGACACAACCTGAAACTCAAAGTTCATCAAATATGATTTCTACCGCAAGATATGAATAAGATAGACAAAGGCGACACTTTCTTAAGTACATGGACAGGAAATGCTCGTATGAATCAATTTGGAACCTCCATGGGTGCACGGAGGGCTATACACTGTAATGCATTTCCAGGAAAAGTATCATTACGAGTCAAGAGAAATGTGGAGCAGTGGTTCTTAGTAAGCGCCGTCTCAGACTCCCTCAAGTGATACATAGGAAAAAACAGGGGAACCACTTACAATTGAAGATACCAACAGCTAATTGGCACTTGACTAAACTTTGGCAGTTCAGAGTTGCAGGGACTTCAAATGCTGTATAATCTCGAATATGAGGAAATTTTTCAACTACCTAAATCAATAAAAGAATATAAGGAAACAAAAGAACACACATAAATTTCTCCATCTTTGCATTGATCAGAAGAAAATATTTTCCAACAACTGAAAAATCCCATCAGGAATTCAGGACTCAGCTATGCTCACCTGCTGTGGAAGTCCATAATTTGTCCGTTCAAGTTTGATTTTCACATCATGGCCTGTTATGTACAGAAAATCAAGATTAGGATCAGATCCAGTTATCATCAAATACAGCACCCGAGGAGCTACCTAGAGTACAAACCTTGAATTTCACCATCAGCAACACATAATGCAGCATTTTTACTAGCGTATAAATAACATTCACCATCTCCAGCACCCACATTCCATGCAATTATTGATCTGCTAACCCAAAAGGCTCTGCTATAGAATAGACTATCCTGCAACTATGCAAATTAAGCACTATGGGCTTGTACGAATTCCAGTAATAAAAAAAATCACCGCACCTAATTTATGTAAACAATTTAAATATAAAATTCTCATTGACCCTTAGATATAGTCACACAAATATGTATGATTAGTTTTAAACCACAAATTGCAATAGTCTTTTTTTTTTCTTCTTAAAACTCCATGCCCAGTCAAGCAGGGTCACATGAAATAGGAAAGGACGGAGGAAGTATAACTTTGGATTCAAGTGTAAGACTTGTCATTACTAATACAACTCTACATTGCTAATAAAACACCGTATAAAACTCTTCAGAAGTAACATCACATGCATAACTTATACCAGAAATTATGAATTATTTTACATGGAATAGAATGTGCAATAAATAGAATATTAGCAATATTTCTACAAGTTGCGAACCTGGGAACACGAAGAAGGGGCTGAAGATTGGTGCATAGTTGAGGAGCACCGAAGAGTAAAAGGACGAGAAGTTCCCAAATTCTGACCGGGTCGGTACCGAGTCAAAGAACTCGGTTGCAGCCTCCTGCGGTTCTTTAAGTGAGATGGAAGAAGGAACCGAGTGGATTCGGAAGGAGCGGAAATGGGAGAGAGCGGAGCCGATGAAAGTAAAGCTGCAGACATTTGAATAACAGTTATTGGGACTCAACTCTCTGCTTCTCAGTAGTTGAGTTTGCTATTTGCTTTTCGGATCCTGTGCGCTACCTTTGCTTTTGTCTGTTATTTTGATATTTTAATCGCTTCGTTTCTGTATTATACATTCCCAACCCAATACTATGTAAATACTTTTGGCCCCAAAGTTTATACTTTGTTTTGCTTAATCTATTTTCACTTGAAAGTAGGGGTGCTTATCGGACGGTTCAGGCAGATAATTATGCTTAACGGTTCGGCTTAACGGTTCCATTAAGACAACAGGCAGATTGGTATCGGATTAACAATTATCGGGCGGCTTATCGGCTAAACCAAATAGAAATTTTTTGAACAATCATTCGATCAATACCAAGCAGTTTCAAATCAATACCAAATTTTTAATACCATCTAAGATCTAAGCAAACGGTATTTTTGAATTGAAGAGTCCTCAACACTACTCATACTATTATACACGTATTAACCAAATTTTAATACCATCAAGACTACTCATACAGACATACACGTATTAATCATTCAGATTTTGATTTTTCGACTTCTCAGTTCTTAGTTCAAGAGAGAGACGAGACTGACGAATTCTCTGCCTCTCGTGGTTGCAGACAACTGAGAATTAGAAAATAGAGATTAGGGATTTAGCTATTTAGGGTTTCAATTCTTTATATTTATATATAGGGGTACGTAAAAGTATACATATAAAAATTCTAAACGGGTTAACGGTTTATCCAATAAGAAAATTGAGTAATCCGCCCCCAAACCGTTAAGCCGTTAATAATAAAATCTCAATCCGTTCATCATCCATTATCCCGATAATCTAATACCAATAAGCCAATAAGTCATCGGTTTGGTTTTGAACAGCTGATCACACCCAACTCTAGTCCTAAAAAGGATAAGCGGTCGTTGCAAATATAATCCGGTCTAAAAGTCCGGAGTCGAATCCCACGGAGAACTAAGGCTTCACTATAACTGTTCAATATCACCAAGACGACAAGCTCGAATAACTTTTAAGTTATAAAGATTAAGATTCTTATATCTAACTAATTAGCTAAGAAACTAAAGCAGCAAATTAACAACTAAAGATACTAAGGGTTGGAGATTAAATTTAGGAGGTCTAGAGTTATGATTTCCCCAAATGTTGGAATCCTTCCCGCTATGTTCCCTACAATTTCGCATATGTATTCTCTACTGATCGTGAGCACTTTAGTTGCCGTAATTCTGTCTCGAGCAACTACAACAATTTACTAGACATATTCTCTCGAACTGCGCTAGTTGGCTTTATCTAACAGCTCATTATGACCACGTCAAGACTTTGTTATTTCTAAACCTACCTTTAAACCCACTGTATTGATTTCTCACATACGTTAGGAGTGACGTCGTTCAACAACTACCTAAATATGTACTCTCTCTCGAGCAGTACACACCAAATAGGTAGAGTCAATTGATGGTCATTCAATCAACAACAATAAACACGTAGTTGAACAAGTAGAGAAATCCAACGGCTTAACTATATAAAAATATAACAAGAATTCATCCTACAAAAGGTTCTATCAAAACTCTAGATAACAAATTAGCTATTCATAATAGTATGCAAAAATACAATACTAGAATTCATAACCAATAA